TTTTTGTTTTGTTTTGTTTTGTTTTGTTTTTCGAGACAGGGTTTCTCTGTGTAACAGCCCTGGCTGTCCTGGAACTAGTTCTGTAGATCAGGCTGGCCTCGAACTCACAGAGAACTGCCTGCCCCTGCCACCCAAGTGCTGGGATTAAGGACCTGTGCTACCACCACTGCCTGTAAAGGTTTATTTGTGTGTGTGTGTGTGTGTGTGTGTGTGTGTGTGAATATTTGGGTATTCTTGAAGGTCAGAAGAGGGTGTTGCATTCTCTGAGCTGGTGTTACAGAGATTGTGAGCTGCTTGCTGTGTGAGCTGGGAACTCCACCCAGGTCCTCTACAAGAGCAGTAAGTGCTCATAACCAGGGAACTGTCTCTCCAGCCTTTATTCTTGCCTTTTTTTTTTTTTTTTTGAGACAGAATTTCTTGAGGTTCAGAGTTGTCTAGAACTTTTCTAGCCAAGGAGACCTTGAACTCCTGATCTTCCTGCCTCCACCTCACCATTACAAACCTGTATCACTGTGCCCAGCTAGAACCCTACATTTTAACATCCTCCATGTCGTGTGGTAAGAAAGATTATAGACAGTCAAAATGCCTTATTAATCACAGTGGTGGAACTTATGAAATGAAAATTTAAAAACTGTCAGTAGTGTGATCAAGTTGGACAATAAATTATTATTATTACTGTTATAATTTTATTTTTTTTGAGTCAGGATCTCAATATGTTGTCCAATCAAGTGGTCCTCCTGCCTCAGCTTTCCTAAAATCAGGGATTTCAAATGTGCTGTTGCACTCAGCAATAGATTTTTCCCTCAACTTTAAAATTTTGTTAGCATACAAAGTGATTGATTTAATCACATTTTTTATTTATTTTTGTACTTCAATCTTATTTGTCCCTGTGCCTTCCTTTTCCCTCCTCAACAGATTTTGGAAGTATTGGGAACTGAACTCAGGGTCTTGTGCATGCAAGGCAATCACTTTACTGAGTTACACTCAAGCCTTCTTTAACATTTTATTTTGAAACAGGTCTGGTTAATTGCCCACACCAACCTTGAGTTCACTCTGAAACCCAGACTGGCCTTGCATTTGCCATCATCCACCTCAGCCAAGATTACAGTAGCTGGGATTATAGGCCAGGGCCATTCTATTGATCAGCAGAGTTTTTTTGTTTGTTTTGAGTCAGGGTCTCTCTATGTAGACCAGGCTGGCCTTGAACTCAGAAATCTGCTTGTCTCTGCCTCCTGAATGCTGGGATTAAGGCCTGTGCCACCATGCCTGGATCAGATTATTTTTATTGTGAGAGAATGGCAGAAGATTGAAATTAAACTCACGAGTTAATCATTTACAAGAGAAAGGGCTGAGAGCATAGTATATTTTACTGTACCTAGAAAATCAGATATTATAAAAACTTTCTGCCAGCCTGACCAATTTGAATCCTCCCCTACCCCCAGAACTTCATGTAGCCCAGGCTGGTCTTGAACCCACTTTGTAGTAAAGAATGAACTTGAACTCCTAATCCTCCTGCCTCTTCCTTCTCCCAGTGCTGGGATTACAAGTGTGTGCCACTATGCCTGATGGCAATTTAAATCTTGAAAGCATATTTTTTTATACCCCTGGAAACAAATCAGGAATCACTGTCCAAAGAAGTCTGGCCACGATACAGCCATGGTCCTATGCCGTCTGTGCATGTTCCTTTGTTAGTTCGCTCAGGAACAAAAGCCAACGTGGTTGCTGGCCCATATCAACTCATGATATGCCCTTTTGTTCACAGTATGTTCCCACTGATGACACTCAGGGGTAAAAATAGAAGTTTGGAGATGGCATATTGCCAGCTGCTCATGCACCTTTCTAAACAGTTTCACATGGGTGGAGTGGTGGGTTAGCATTCAATTTGAAAAGGTAGAGTAGACAGCCAGTTCTCTTGGAGGAGTCTCTAACCTGGAATTAAGTAAGGCTGGACACTCACTCAGACTTCTGAATCCCAGTGCCTGGTGTCTTGCAAAGGTGCCGTGCTTCCAGGGCCCGGGAGTAGAGTGCTGGCAGAGGTGGAGGGTTCTGCAGACATTGGCACAAGTCACCTCCCTGAGCGGCTGTGTTCCTGTCCTCCCAGAAGCCCACTCAAGTGCTAATAATGGCTGACTTCAACTCAACAGACACCTGCTCTGTGCCAGGCACAGTGTTTGCCTAGAAACGTGGCCAGGGGTGGAAAAGCATGGTGGTGGGAAGCTTTTATTCCAACGTGCACAGGCTTCACTTGCAGACTGTATTGGACAAAACAACAGATGGGCAGGTAGCCCAAGGGCCTATTTTCATGTCTCTGGTTTCTGGTCTGCAGGCCGGCATTTCCCAGCCACAGGTCCTTTGGCTTCTACACGTAGACTCTACTTACCCATACTCACATATCATCCACACACAATAAACAGCAAATGTAAAAATTGCATTATTAATATTTTAATCTTGTCTTTATTTTTACATTTATTTATTTATTTATTTATTTATTTATTTATTTATTTATTTGGCAAGACTATGTAGGTGAAGTTGGCCTGGAACTTGAGATCCTCCTGCCTCAGCCTCCTGAGTACTGGCGGGATCACAGGCTTGCACCACTACACTTGGAGATCTTGTCTTTAAAAATGTTATCGGAGGCTGGAAGATAGTTCAGTGAGTGAGAGTACTTCTGTGTAAGCACAGGGACCTGAGCTGGAATCCCTATACTCATGTGAAAGGCTGGGCATTGCTGCTCCCAGCTCAGCCTAGCGCAAACACCAAATGGAGCTTTCAGTTTGTAAAAGACCAGGTAATAAGACTGAGAGTGGTAGAGGCTAACCAAATTCATGTTTGGGCCTCCACATACATGTACATGAGCATGCATACCCACCTAGATATCCTCTCTCTCTCTCTCTCTCTCTCTCTCTCTCTCTCTCTCTCTCTCTCATACACACACACCTGACAACACAGGCTTACCACACACACACACACATACACTACACCACATGCATGCGTCATACCACATACACACATCCCTCACACAGAGACCCAAATGATGTTCATTACTTCCCAGAGGTTTGTCATTTTTTTGAGTCATATATGAGCATATACTTGTACTGAAAATTAATTTTCTTCCCCCCACAGAGTAAGTCTGATTTGCAGGCTTGGCTTGACAGAAGACTTTTATTAACTAGATTACATGACAGATATGCTTATAAATTACAATGAGTAAAATCTTCATCTTTTCACACTGTGAGAAAAAAATACATTGATAACACGTTGTAACAAGAGCATTTTTCCAAGAAATACTGTTTTGGCAAAGGCACTTTGAAATTAGTATTTTTTTTCTATTTTCTCAACCCCTTCTCAGAACATTGGACTAAATGAGGTACCTCTAGGGTTGACAATAGGAGTAATTTACTAAATCTTGAAAATATATTTTTTTATACATTTCCCAGAAACTAAGGTGGCAGCTCAGCATGGTGAGTTTCCATTTCTTTCCTTTTGAATTTTAAAAAGATCAATCAGGTACAAGCTGATATATTAGTAAAATAATTTTAAGGGGCTAAGGGGCCAGTGAAGATGGACAGGGTGGGGGTGGGGTGGGATAAGGCACTAGTCACCAAACCAGATGATTGAGTTTGATCCCTGGGACCCATATGGTGGAAAGAGAGAACTGCTCCCTGCAAGCTGTCCTCTTGCCTCTACACACATGCTCTGGCATGTGCGCACATACACACTTGCATGCACACACATAAATAGATACAGGTAAAATAAGGAGAATAGAGACCTTTTAGAGACCAGGTCTCACCATGTGGGCCAGGCTGGTCTGGAACTCACGGAACTCACAGAGCTCACATTAGGAGTACTAAGCATTAGGAGATGTTGCTTGCAGGAAGGACTCAAGTCCTCTCCAATCATACACCAAACAAACCTCCCAATGCTCACATCTGTCAAAATAAAAAAAAATGTTGGGGGGGTATTCCATCACACTGTAAACCCCAAGTTAGTATTTTTGTTAATTAAATAAAAGTAACCTTGGGTCAGGAGGCTGAGTTAGCAATAGTTGACAGAAAGTAATTATAAAGCATCACAGGATATCTGGAAGAGAGAGAGAAACACATTAGAAGCAGTAGGAAGAGATTTGGAGTGGTATGGCTTTTTTTTTTTTTTTTTTAAGTGCAAAAGGACAAGGTTTTTTGGCGGATGCCAGCAAGGAGAGAAGGTTAGCTAGTTGCTACTCAACCCCTCTGAGCTAGCAGGTTTTCACCCCAGCCTTTGACTCTCAAGTCTTATTCATAAATAGAATGATACAGATTTAGTTAAAGCTAACTTTAGCAGCAGTGATAGAGCCAGTACACGTGGGAACAGAATTTCTGCCCGGCTGTGGCCTGAGTGGCCTGGTCACTGCCAGAGTAGTAGGCCGCTAACTTCAGAGTCCCAGTTGTTGGCTGAAATAGCAGCAGATTAAGGTGCAGCCACTGTGCCTAAGAGAAAACAAAAACAAAAAAGGTACAGGATGATGGAATCAATGAGTTCAAGATCATCTTTGGCTATATAGCAAGTCAGAGTTCAGTCTGGACTACAAGAGACTATGTCCCAAAACAGCAGCAGCAACAACAACCAAAACAAATAAATGGGGCTGGGGGAAATATACCAGTCAGTAAGGTACTTGCTGTGTAAATATAAGAACCTGGGCTCAACCTCTAGAATGACTGCAAAAAAGTCAGGCATGGTAACACACACTGGTTATCTCAGCTTGGGGAGGGAGAGACAAGCAGATCCCTGTCCATTCCCACCTAACCAGCAAGTTCCAGGCCAGTGCGAAACCCTGTCTCAAAATACAAGGTGTATAGGGCTTGAGGTGTGACAGACAGAGGTTGATCTCTGGCATCTATATGCGTGCACACACACATAAACACATGCACACACATCTACAAATTAAAAAAAAAAGCAAGAAAGGGGGCTCTAGAGATGGCTCAGAGGCTAAGAGCATCTACTGCTCTTGAAGAGGACCTGGGCTAGATTTCTAGCATCCTTAGAGCGGTTCACAACTATCTGTGACTCCTGTTCCTCTTCAGGCCTCCTGGGCATGAGATGTACATGTGTTGCACATATACATGCAGGGAAAACATAAATACATAAAAGAAAATAAATCTAAAGGAATTAGGGCTGGAGAGATGATTGCTCAGTGGTTACAGCTTGTGTGGCTATTCCAGAGACCAGAATTTAATCTATGTCAAGCAGTTCACACCCATGTGTAACTCCAGTCTCAGAAGACTTGATGCTTTTAGCCTCCGAGGGTACCCACACTCATGTGCAATTACATATGCTACATATGATTAAAAATTAAAAAACTTAATCTTAACAAAGATGCATTTCTGGCACATTCTGTTCATTTTTTGAGCATGTCATTCTGACAAGTCTTCTGAGACCAATGCCATAAGTCAACAAAAAAGATTTTTTAAAATACTTAGAAATCTAAACTCACAGGAAATTAAAATTTCAAATTTATATGCATGTCCCTATTTTGCTACAGAGAATGATGTTGATGCAGGCAATGAAAGAATTTGTAACATAAAATTATATTGCTTTAGAATACAGTCTTGGCGGAAGCGAAATACATGTTCCAGTATGAAATTTCTAGTATAGAAGAATTTGGTATTTTAATTTCAAATAGTGGTGTAACATTTGTTTGTTTTGTGTTGCATGGAGGTTTGAGGACAACTTGTGGGAACTGGTTCCTTCTTTCCCCCATATCGGTCCTGAGGATGGAGCTCCGGCCACATCAGGTGTGGCAGACAGCACCTTTATCCGCTGGGATTTTTAAATGGATGATGGCAATGTAGCCTGTCACATGTAGTTTCTGTTTGTTTGCTTTTATTTTGCTTCTTGAGATAGTGTCTCTTGTAGCCCAGGCTGGCCTCAAACTCATGGTTTATATAACTGAGGATGACCTTGAACTATTGATTCTACTGCCTCCACCTCCCGAGTTCTGGGATTACAGTCTTCAAGTGATCATGCCAGGCTCATATGTGTTGTATTTAATTCTCATTGCATACCTTTGAAACAATGATATGATTTAAGATGATAATATTTAAGCTATAAGAAATTATATTTTGTGCAATTATTTAGACTTGTGGAAATTTCTATATGTGAGCTTCAAAATGCACGAGAGATTATGAAATTATGAGATAATGAGATTTTGAAATTAGTTTTGTGACATATAGTAACATCTGACAGGCACTGTAGTAATTCACACATAATGTGTGATTAGTTGATTTTAGCATAGACACTGAAGAAAGGCTAAATTTCTACCAGGGTCTAAGGCCTGTATTTTTGTTCTGCAATTCTACCAGCAAAAAAGACAGTTTGGGGAAGATTCTTGGAGGAAGGCCCCAAACACTGAAGTCTGTAAAGAACTGAGACTGGGGCTGCATTCTGCAATAAACAGTGGTAAGTATGCATCACTTTGTTTTTTAAAGATAGATTTATTTTTATTTCATGTGTACTATTGTTTGCCTGCAAATGTGTTTGTGTACAACATGGATGTCTGGTGCTCACAGAGGCCAGGAGAGGGCTTCATATCCCTTTAAAATGGACTTAGTGGTGGTGGTGAGATGTCTGACAAGGGTACTAGGAACTGAACTCAGGTCTCTGCCAGAGCAGTATTATGCTATCTTAACTTTCAAGCCATCTTTCCATCTCTTACATGTATCATATTTTAAGATTATCTATGAAGTCACAGCTAAGAGACTTTCATCTGGTCCTCCAAAATATTCTGTAGTGGGGAGATGGTCAATGGCAGACAGCCCAGGTTAGGCAAGGAAGCAAGGTAGAGACACAATTACTCATCAGTTTCTAGCAGCAGCTTCAGAAACAGTGGTGGGCTGGGTTAGGAGGAGGGATTGCTGGGCTCTCCTAAGAAGTGAAGCCTGGGATTCAGCAATCAGGATATATTACACTTAGGAAAAGAGAAGCAGCAAGTCCCCTTGTGGGTGTGTACACTAGTGTCAGGGTGAGAAGGGCATAGGTTTCAATGTGCCTGTGGACAGTTAATGCTTGCTATCAATGGCATATTGATTAACAGTTCCCCCTTGTCACTTTTTTTTTAATCAAAAAATTATTTCTCCCTGGAGAAATGACTCAGAGATTAAAAGCAGTTGCTACCCATGCAGAGGGCCTGGGTTTAATTCCAAACATCCACATGGTAGTTCACAACCATCTGTAACTCCAGTTCCAGGGTATCTAATGTCCTCTTCTGACCTCGGAGTGCAGGAGACAAACATTTGCAGGCAAAACACACATCTAAAGGAAAAACAATTTCTACATGTGTTTGTGTATGCTTGTGTGCACACTGAAGCAGCACAACTGTGAAGTCATTCAGCTCTGAGTTGACACCCACCCAGGTGTGTTCTGATCCTTTGTAGGACTTCACCAGGGTCCTGCATTTGGTCTCTGTATTTTTAAGGCAAAACTTGTTAGCATTCCCTAGATACAGACCACAGGCCCAAGATCAAAATGTGTCTTGTAGCTACAAGGACCCACAAAGTGCAGACTAACAGGAGAGAGCTCTCAAGTCTATGCGACTTCAGGGAACAGGGACAGCCCATCACTGCTCACTGCCCACTGCTTCAGTAATGCCAATCTACATTTTATGTTGGTTATAACAAGCATGTCTTAGTTCAATGTCTTAGGTGCCCATCCAAATAATCAATACAAGAGTTTATTTTCTTCTTTTCTGTTTTCCTTCCCAGTCCCTTCTCTTTCCTTTTTTGTTTTTTAAATTATGTCTCGTATAATTGATCTCCAATTTGTAACGAAACTGAGACTGGCCTCAAACTCCTGCTCTTACTGTCTTGAAAGTGCTGAGATTAAAGGCTTTAGTCACCATGCCCAGCTGGCACCACAACAATTTCATCATAAAGGGATGAGTTCCTATTTAAGATCAACTAGACATCCCTTAGCTTCTCCCAACACATTTGTTTTTAAAAAATCTTATTTTACTCAGGAAAACATTAAAACTCATAGTATGGCTGTCTAATGATATGTAGACCACCACTACAATAGAAATGTGACAAGGGGCTAGAGTGATGTTAGTGGTTTTGCAGAGGGCTTGAGTTTGGTACCCAGCCCCCATAAGTGGCTCATAACCATCTGTTAATTCTAGTTTCAAGGATCTGATGCTTTCTTCTAGCCTCTACAGACAGGCACTGCACACATGGCACATACACATATTCAGGGAAAACATTCATACACATAAAATAAAAAAATAAATCTTAGAAAAATACTCCACAAAACAACAAAAACATCTCCCAGGTGTTTGATAAGATGCTACAGCAGCCAAAGCTGAAGGAGAACACAGACCCAAAGAAGCAGAGGCTATTGTTTTGAATGAGATTTATGGAAGGCATTTCTTTTGTTGCTGCTCGGTTTGGGGGGGGGGTGTCTCACTGTGTAGCCCCTGGTTGACTGGAACTCACTCTGTAGACCAGGCTGGCCTGAAATCCACTGAGATCTACCTGATTCTCTCTTCCAAGCAGTGGCATCAAAGGTGTGCACCACTGGCCTCTGGAAGCACTTCCTAACCTCTGAGTCATCTCTCCAGCTCAAGGGTTAGTTGGATTTTAAATCATGTGCATGCCTATGTGTTTGTGTGTTTGTAATTAAAATATGGAAGAGTTGTTATGGAACCACCTCCTTCGAACAAGACACTCCCTCCTGGAAGGAGCAGAGAAGCTCATGTGACTGCCAGGCTCGGGGAGCTCTGCTTCTAATAGCTGCTTCAGAAAACAATTGAAAAATAAATACATTAACACAGAAGTAATGCCAGCACTTTGGAGGAGGAGGAGGTAGGAGAGTCAAGAATCCAAGGCCAGCTTTATGGAGTGAGAAGACCGAAACTTAAACCCAAAGTCATTAAGGTGTTCAACCTTGCTCAGTGATTGCAAGGAGGACAATCTCAACCTATTGAGATGGAAAGGCCTTTTTGGTACAATGCAAAACACAGCTCCCACGTCAGAAGGAATCAGAAGTGGTTTATTGTAGAGCCACATGTGAGTGCCTATGACACAAATTTGGGTTGTGCACATACTATGTTCTAACGTGTAACAGTTTCATGAAATTTTGGAAGTGACGGAGCTGACTTTCAGAAAACAAGGTGCTTTTCAAATACATCATGGGAACTACAGTTAGGCTGGTTACAGCAAGGCTAGGAAGGGCTGCAACCTCCGCTGCAGGCTTCAGATGGTGTCTGATGACATTTTTAGCTTTGGGGTTGCTTGACTAGAGCTTTGCTAAGTAAATGCATGCCAATGGGTTTCTCACAAGAATTTTACATCAGATAAGAAGATGGACAGGGAATGGCTACCGAGGAGACGAAAGGTAACCCATGATAATTGGCTCTGGATATAAAACACTACAACTCTGAACAATCAGGAAGCTTTGATCAGCCCAGGAGAATCCTTGAAATAGGTGTGGCTCCCCC